CTCAGACGTGATCTTCAGAAATAATTTAAATTAATTGTAAATTGTACAAACTCTACGTAAAATAAGCTCAAAATTCTTAACATACTCTGACTAAATAGGCATTTTAATATACTTTTAAATATTGAGATTGCCTTTTGTGTAGCCATGCTTACTACTCAGTTTAAAACAAACTCCACATGTTTTCTGCAAATGAAGCAGATGAAGAAATCCTATTATTTGTTTGTCCGTATCAACACCTGCACTCTAGATCGATCTCTGTACAGTAAATCGAGTGTGTGTTATTTCAAGCGTTTGTGCCGATATCAGTGAAACGCTGAACGACTGATGATGTGTACTGGTTTATCAGTGTTTACTTCAGAACGGGACCGGCAGGCACGCTAAAAGTAGAGTAATGAAATCAACGCCCAAGATGTATTTTGCAGCGAGAATGTTACAACCGAATAAATAAAACTCCGTTGTAGACAACTGTAGTGCCATGGCTAAAACAGACATCGTGATACCTCAGGGCGTTGCCTTAGACAGTAAGTATGAGAGCAGACCTTGTTACGTGTTGCAGTTTTTAATTTCAGTGCCAGTGTTAACTTGTTTGCGTCCAAAATGTTTTAAGAGCAGTTAGAAATAGTCGAGTTCGCCAATTGCCTCCGGAGTGTTGCGTTCTTTGCACAAAGTTGTGTATTCAGATTAAATTTGATACTGGGAATCGACACCAGAACATACCAGGAAACGCCGATGTTGGTCTTCAGGGTTGCAACTCCACGTGAATTTGTAAATAGATAAAACCGTTTCGGAGGAACATACTGATTTCATCTTCAGGGTGAAGACCAATATCGAAGTCTATGTCGTGAGATCCTCAGATCTGTTATAGATGTCAGGTAAATTTAATTTTGGTTTGTGTTACCACTAAAACGTAACTAGATTTGTAGGTAGACTACAGGTTCTCACGGCGATGAGTATGAAGATGGCCATCTTCTGTGATATTGTGCAGTATAATCTAGTAGATACCGCCACGGTGGTCTAGCGGTTAGAACGCTGGCCTTGTAATCCTGGTCTCGGGTTCGATTCCCGGCGGTGCCCGAATTTATAACTTGTGTTGGGCAAGGCCGTGGTCTAGGCAGCACGGAGTTTTCCTCCGGGGGCTTCCCCGGTTTCTCCGTGGCATCCCAACAATTACTCCATTCACACACAGAAGAAGGCAATGGCAAACCACTTCTGGATCATCTGCCAAGAACGTATATGAACAGGTCCCAGTCCGAGAAAAGGATGGAAGGATCCTGGACCTGTCGTCAGACAGAACACTAAATAAAAAAATAAATAATCTAGTAGGTACTAACAGACGTTTCAGAGGTGCTTGCTGCCTTCATCACACCAAGCAATTATCGCATAGCATTGCAGTCTTTTGTGTATGTCGCGTCGGTGGCCAAAGATTACAACGTTCAACGTCCTATGTGCAGAGCGGCGTTATGGCGTCTTCTCCTGGGGCCTGCTGATGTCGGCCCTGCTGCTTCTGCTGGTAGTGGTGGTGCTGGCTGTGGTGCTGTTTGTTGCCGTCGATAACTCTACACTGGTGCTCATCATTCTTGTAGTTTGTCTTGTCGCTGTCGGCGTATCAGCATGTTTATTCTTGGAGTGGCTGCACCGGCGAGCACTCAGGCGTAGAGACGAGGGCGCCAGAGCATGGATACATCGGACCATCAGTGGGAAACAGGTGACTTAACGTCTGTCCGCATGTCTTAGCTCGGAAACTATTAAAAGAATTTCTATTAAATTTGGTATATGGTTCAACTAACTTAAAACCCTCTTGCCCATAGATTTAGACCGACGCGAGAACTACACATGTTTCGAATCTCACCCTCGGCAAGTTGGCAAGCTCCGGTCAAGCGATCAGTTACTTTCGAAGTTTCTAAACTGATGCTGAATTTGATCGTAATTTCCGGCCTTTAAGGGGAAGAAGTAATTGAATCGAATTTTCAGTAATACACATATAAGAGGAAAGTTAGAATGGATCATCAAAAACATTCGAACGCCTTTCTTTGAATCTTTCCATCTATGCTTAAAATTTTCTCTGGCTGATATCGTTTCGTATCGACATAATAAATTGTCTTAATTTAATAAATTTCTATAGCCTTCATAGTCTTTAACATCGAAAATCGGAAAGTCTAATCACAGATCGTTCTTAAGTGGGATTTGAGGATCTGACAGCGATAAGTATGAAGATGGTTGTCGTCTGGGTTATAGAATCGTGAGTCTGGTAAAAATTGAGGTCATACTGCCTCCATTCTCAGGGCAATCACTCATCGCTACGGAGCTAAAACTCAGAAGACAGCCATCTTCATAGATCGTTGTTGTATTACGGCATTCTTTCAATGTAATAGCTGTGTGAGACTTGACACAATATTACTACTGCCTTTCGTTATCCTCTTAAAATGACAACCGTGATATCCGCCATATTTTTTATAGATAAAAGATAGTAACAGGATCGTTAGGCAAACGCCTGTCCAACACAAGTTCTCCTAGTACCCAGTCCAGATATTTAATGCAGTTGAAATATCAACGTAAATTTTATTACCATAATTCCATGATACATGCGCCTTTACATGACAAAATGCCGACTTACATGACTTCATTTCCTTTGAAGGAAACAGAGTCGCTTTCATCATCGTCGTAATTTTAGTTTTAATTAGGTCATTCTGTCTCTTAACACGACTTTAAAGGTCAGTAAAGGCATGAACTTGGGACAGCATGAAAAGCAGGGGTGTCTAACACCGGCACCAGCAAATCGTGGTTAATTAAACCTTATAGAAGTTAAAAGTGGGAAATTCTTAACAATTTATGGCATACACTCAAATCAGTTTGAATTTTTCTCTTCGAGATACGTAGGCTACGGGTGCAGCACCCGGTTGTTAATATTATTTTGTCAAAAGCTGGCTGAAAAGTATTTAGTTCTGTAGAACTACCACGTGTGCATTGTCTTCCCTAGACGATTGTGTTATCTCACTATCTGTATAGCAAGTGTCGCCAACTTCGGTTCAGTGATGTTCGTCAGAACCCACTCCTCTTCTTAGGCCTACAACTGCTCTTCTATAACCAGACTTTGCTCTTTGTAACTCATTTTTCGTCTGTAGTAGATTGTGTTTAAAAAATACGCTATTCTTAGGCAGTATATATCAAATTAGCCAAATGACATCAGAATTGTAAGACTTGAGGTTCTCACAGCGGTGAGTATGAAGATTTCCGTCTTCTGAGTTGTTGCGCTGTGTAATCTGGTTAACATCGACCAGACTACACAGCGCAACAACCCAGAAGACAAAAATTTTCGACATCAGAATTGTTGGTATCTGTAAAATTTAGAGGGACAATGTAAGTGGCATTGTATCTATAAGTAAATGCTTATAATGAAGGTTTTACAAAACGTGTCCAAAGAGGTTTTAGTTCGAGCCCAGATGCTAATGTTCACGCAAATTAAAGATACAGGCCTGTAATCATGTTCGACCTGCTATGTCTTTTGAGCTTACAGGTTCACACATCACTCAATAATCTGTTTTGACAGTTGTGATAATTTATTTTTATTGATTGTTTACTAACAATTAAATGTTTAATTTTGGTCGTAACTATTTGCATTATTGTTTGTGATACAATATCACAAAAAAGCTAGCGCGCAGTACAAGTGTCATTGGCTGACCGTGGGTTGAGAACCTTTGCCTTAAGCCAATAAAATCGAATTTGCCTCTCTTTATTTTGCAGCTGGCTATTGAAACAGAGCCCGCGCCACTGCCAGAGCCCAGTGTGCCCTCACTTACCCCCCGTTCGTCCTGGATCCACTGGGCACCATGGAAAACCGCCCGTAGCACTGGGGTGCCATCTTCACGGAGCACTGATACTCCGTCTTCACGGAGCACTGGTCCGCCATCTTCACGGAGCACAGATTCACCATTTTATACCATCGTTTCACGTAATGGAAGATAATGGTACAACAGTCGAATATATTAGAGTAGTGAAGTTCTCTCAGCTATTACAAATGAAAACGTATTTCATACGTTTGTGTAGGAACTATACGCGCGTTTACAATCTGCACGGAATGAAAGGATACAAACTCATATTAAAATCTGATGTAAAAGTTCCGTCGCAGAAACAGTAATTCTCAGTTTGCAGTGAACACACATGCTCCAAAACAGTCAACACATCAAAGAACTGTTTTTTTTCCACAATACCAATTAATTCATGGGCTTCGCCTATACTGAATAAGAACTCTGATTCGAAATTATTTACACTTAATTCACATGACATTAAGGATTTCGCAAGTCCTTTACTATAATAACTAGCCTTTAACTCGTTTTACTCGTTTTGTCCATGTTTATATTGACTTCCTGGATGTCGTGAAGATTTTGGTACTGTGTAGACACAATAACCCCTATCAAGGGTCACGAAATATGCTTAAAACTTGACAATAAGCTAACTGCATTGTACGCATGCGTTGGAAAAATTTATACTGTCATGTAAAATACATTAATCTGAACAAGCACATACTGTGCGTATTAGAAAGAGTCCCATTTCTAGTTTCAAAACCGTTCAGACTTCTTTTATAAACTACTTCAACGCAGGGAACCCTCGAAATGACCCGAATCTCCGCCTGTCTCGAGTGGAATGTCACGATTATTCCGAAAGGAAACATTCGATCAACTCATCCCACTTCTTCATACAGAGCTCGCCTCTCACAAACACAAAAACTCATTGGGTGGACTCCTTGGACACAACCACAAATTGCAAAGTCCTCGCAGCGTTAGTTAACTAAGTGACCAGCCGAAAACTTGTAAAGAACATGGGGAGTTTTTAAGATGGCTGTCTTCTGGGTTGTTATGTCTACACGGTGCAACAACTCACATTAGCCGTGAGAACCTGAAATCTCACTTAACTGAGAACTTTCATAAATCTCAAAATAAATGCAATAAAAGTACACAGAACGTAAGCCTAATTCTTCTTTCCTGTGGAGAGATACGTTCGTCGGGTAAACTAAGAATATTTTCATCCCGGGGAAGGTTGAATGAAACTATTTAATAATTTTTAAAATTGTTTTTAACTCATTAATCAACGTTTCGGAAGTTGTTTCTACGTCCATCTTCAGTGCAATCTAAAATGTATTATTAACGCTTCCCTCTTATACTTTCTAAGTATATGGAACTAAAAATTTAAATGTAATACAGTACATTTTATTTAAAATTCGAGGTAACCTCTTTATGTACATGAAAGTAACCACTGGCCTAACACGAAAATTAATGTGGAGACAACAGCGTGTCGCATGTAGACCGAAGGCCCTTGGTTGTGCATCCCTGCTTGAAAGCAAGGGATCAAGTATTACACCCATAGAAACCACCTCTAAATAAAGGTTTAATACGCTCTAATCTTCAGTTTTTTTGGGAAAACAGATGTGTAAACACTGTACAAACAAAGCCAAGAACTTATTTGCTGTCATGAAGCGGGCTTTATACTTGCAGCCACGTCTGCAACTCAGTGTCGAGGGCTAGTCAGTTATTCCAGTGATTAGAATGCAGAAACCAGGTAGTAATTAAATTAACAGCAATTAGAATTTCCAACATAGGAGCTACGTGCTGAAAATAACGTGAACCGCATCGACACTTCTGAGAACAACGCGCGCTTGGACATGCGGTTCCAGAATCGGCAGAAAGATCCATCTGCGTGTTTTAAGGATTTCGACAAAATTCCTATCTTGGTATTAATATGAGGTAAAGACGAAAATAATTGCTATATAATTTCCAAATTATAAAACCATTATTCTTTATAAGAATTGCCATTCCATGATGGCTTTGGTTCGAGTTTATTTATAAAACATTAGTTGAAATGTAATTTATCCACTTCTTTACGTTTCCAATAAACGACTCGTATGTTGCTAAAATTATATCTCTGAATTCTATCACGACAATTCAGCATAAGACGAGTAGTTCTACTGCGATCCATTTATGAATGAACATGGGCCTGATATTAAAATAATTAGTAAAAAATACACTGGAATACAAATAAAACTCTCTTCTTTACCACTGTGGGTCACTCTGATCGATGATTTCTTGGGAATGATGGACAGGAAGAGAACAGCTGTGAATTTTTAGTAAGGATCCAGGCGTGGTACAAATTAGTAATAAGTACAAAGTGAAAATTTACTTAAGCATCACAGAATGACTGACAATATCACGAATATTATATTACAAATTTGACATTTATTTTTATAGATTTAACTCAATGACATATTATTGGATCAGTGTTCCTCAACCTGTCTGATACCGCGGATCCCTTCACCAAAATTAACTCATACACTTTTAATTAAAGGGAATACTGACTGACTAAAATAAACACAGAATTTATAGTTTTACGTCATGGTTATACTACAAAGTGGAAATAAAACAATTTGATGAAAAAGCTTACAACTTATAGCAACACGGCATAAAAAAATAATAGAGCGAAATCTATTCAAGTGTCGGACCTCGGTTGAGAAACGTGGATTTAGACCACTCTGTGTGACACCAATTTAAGAACTTCAAAAGATACAACTCAGACTTGTGGTACAAGTTACATTCTACAGGTTTGCAATATGCATCCAAGAAGCAAGATGGCGCTACACATCTATGAAGGTACTTGACGCGCGTTGAAAGAACGGACATCGGACAGTCCTTACAGTATGCCAGTGGGTAAATAACTTTACATATTCTTAAAACGAAAAGGCGCGCAAATTTATTTTGAACAACTGACGCAAATAAAATTTAGTACCTGAAATGTCTTAACCTATTACTTTTCACGTTCTTAACTTGTCCCCATGAACTTCTATAAATTATATCTAAGCCAATATTTGCATTAACTTTTTAAGATACTGAAATATAAGGTAATGGAGTGAAATTATTAAATCACCAGGTTTTCCTCACGTTACCCATTCAATCAGTAAAATAATTCTGTGCACTGCATCGTCATACGCGCAATATAAGATCGGCTTTCGGGTTTCAGGCGCTTTTTTTTTGAAGTCTTTGCAAAATTTAGCAAATATTTATGAAAAACTTACAGGCAAAAATCAGCTATCTCATTTTGGATCGTGATCTGAATTGTGAGGCCGTGCAGAGTTGGTGATTAGTTATCATCCTTTCTGAGAAACAAATAAGGTCCGCGATGATGGAGGCAATATATTCTTCCGAAACATTAGTAACAACCTGTAAGTCTTCATGGCCTCTGAACCCAAAAGACTACAATCCATATTTTTACCGATATGAAAATCTCTAATCTCATATGAATGCTTCGTTTTTCCAGGCGTAAACAAATTTTATTACTGTTTCAGACATCTTTTGTTGGACATTACGCAGAAATGAAGCATTTCTGCGAAACAAAATTGTATCAAGTAATACTTTTAATCCCTGTAACTTAATACAGACTAGAGTGTGTGGTTATGTACCAGTTTTCAAGTAACCTGGGAGCCTTTCACACATTCTTTGTAGGCCCCACAATTCACAATGTTCCGCACTCGTGTGCCAACTATCTGTTGGCACTCTCGCATTTCCGGTGTCTCGGGTTTGGACGACAATCAAACGGGAACGCTGTAACAGAGAACACACGGAATTAACAACTGCAATACTGATAATGCCATGCACAATCTCAGTCTCGCGTTAATGTAAACGGAACTGAGTGGCCAACTTCACAATGAGGCCTAACAGCAATGTACAAGAACATGAAGAGATCGTGTTTCAAAATGTGGACGTTTTCCCCCTTCACACCACTCTCAAAGATCAGACCCAAACGCCTCAACATGATACCAACTGTATTAACATAAACAAAATATAACGTAAAGGAGAGAACATTTGGAAGTATGCTTAGTAACGAAGAAGTCAACGTAACAAAAGAAATAAATGTGAGATTTTAGGTTCCCACGGCGGTGATGAGAATCTTCTGGGCTTTGGCGCGCGTGGACTCGTCAGTAGATGTCAGTGTTCCCACCCTTAGCCCTAACGATGTTGGCAGTATCTTTTTGTGAAGCGCTGGCATGTGTTGACGTGTACACACGACGCCATCTTCAACACGAACAAAGTAAGGACACAACACTGCATACGCCGAAACAAAATGGCGTTATTCTAACAACCACACGGCATGTTAAATATAATAGGATGATGGAACGAAACCAAACAAGGCAGATTAATATTCCATAGTGAGTATTGAATTACGACAGAATACATCGGGGCGTTATTTATAAAGCCTTAACATCGCCATTAGCATTCGGGAAGCAGCAGGCGATTTGCACATCCGCCCCTCCCAGGTAATGAAAAGTTTATGTTCCACCTTGTATGAAAAACAGCCACTGGAGACGCAGATGTTGGTGCACCTGCCAGCAGTGGATTGGAACAATCTTTCGCAATCCCCATTGTCTGAATCACGAACAGAAATTGCAATTCCAGACAGGTCCAGTCGAATAAAGTACAGTACAAATATTTTCCTATTAGTGTCATGAGCGAGTTGTAATTCCTGTAAGTGATTATCTTCATTAATTTAGCTTTAGTCGTTACAGAACTTGGGACTACGTGGATATGAGTGGCCAATGTCACGCTCCGTTTTCCACATAAGTTAAGAACAAAATAGACCCTATTTGTAGAAATTCTCTTAAATCCTTCAAACAGAATACAAATAAAAATCACAAGGCACCTGCATTCTAAATGCACGTTTCAGGAACGACTGGAATGACTGCATGGATCAGAGTGTTTCTTGATAAGATAACAGTCGCTCACCACATTTATAGATATCGATGGTCCATTACTGTGTTCACACTGGTGCATCACTAGATCCTATTCTCATCCAGATGAATCCAGTCTGCAGTCCCCACACATTATTCATGTATAGCCCTTTTTAATATTATCTTACTTTCTACAATTATGTCTTCCACATGGTCTCTTCCCTTAAGGCTTTCGGTATAAAATGTATGTCGGTGGCAGTTAGCGGGGGTGTCCCTTTGCCGGGGGATTCCCTATAAAATTACATAGGGAATTTATGTTCAAATATTTTCGTTGTAAGGGTTGCGGTGTGTAGTGGCGCTGTATCGGGATTTGACTGTGTTTTTTTTCTGTTTTAAGCCCTTTGACACAGATTATTGCTCTTGAGATATCAGCGTTGTGTCGCACGTGGGTCTACAGCTAGGTAGAACAGTTACGATCGAAATATTTTATCTTGAACGACGAGTTTTGGCTGCGCAGTTAACTGCGAAGCCAAAAGGAACAAAGGAAGATGCTCTCTGCGGTATTACCAGTGGTCTACAGGCTCTTCAGCCGATAGATCTCCGAGTTAATCGCACGCCAATAATTTTCATGCGATCCTATAAACGCGGTTTACTCATTAGTCTGTAAATTCCATTTAAATTATAGTGGACAGCCCTGTTTTCCTCAGTGTAATTAGTCCTTAATGCTGTTTGCTATACTGTATCATCTCAGCGAAAGCAAACATTCCTCTTGAGCGCGATGTAGGATCTGCCATTGCCCGTGTTTAAACAAGCAGTTATTTCAATGCCAGACTAACACTGAGTCTTTGGCACTGGAAGCTGAATATCAAAACCCTTTTTAAATAACATTTTCCATTGAATTCTATTGTGGGAAAGGCCAACCATTTGTACCAGTTTACAAAATGTTTATCTAAGTTCCAAAGATTGTGTAGGAATAGGACACACGTCAAAGATAAAAATATTTGTCACTCAGGCTATTAACAGATAGAAACATGCTGACGGAATGTTAATGTGTCACGCTTGCTAATTGCTGCTTCAGAAACAGTGTTATTCGATTTCGTAACTCATTTAAATATTATAAACAGTTTCTCCCACATTTCCAAAACTACGGTTTAAATTATATGTGCCCTTTTTATTCCAACGCACTCAAGTTAAATATTATTCTTTAAATCGAAATCGTTATTTCAAAACATTAAAAATGTTGCACGTTAAACAATGACGGCTGTGGCGTTTATAAAGAGCTCATCAAGATAACGAAAATGCACATAAAAACTACGCTTCTCTTAAGAAATACTGAATCTCTCTGTGAGATAAGAGAAAAACACTTGTAGCTATAAATAAATCGATCTGACAGCCGAAACGATGATGTTTTTAGAACCTGAGTGACGTGTCTCCTCCCTTTTACTTGACGTACGATGCAACATTCCAGAAGACAAACGTCTTCAGGAAAAATATGCTACAAATTTCTTCAGAACAATTTGTAGCTTAGATGCGTCATGTTTGTGTTGAACTAAGTATGTATTTATTATTCCAGTCTATACACAAACTTAATTTAACAACAACATTTTTAAATTAAGTTTGTGTATAGACTGGAATAATAAATACATACTTCTTCAGAACAGTTTCCCGACTCTAGTAGTACAACACATTACACTGTGGGTACCATGCGTAATCTGTCTCTGTAAGGAGACCATAAATTGAATAAGATTTTAGGAGGAAGTATCAGGAGAATATTTTAACGCATAAGATGGATGAAATAACAGGGCAACAGGAACAACTACGCAATAAAAAAATCACAATTTGGCTATACATGTGACCGATACTTTTGAGAAGATGTAATCAAGATGAACAGGATTGTCTGAATGTGAAACACGAATGAGAGTAAAGTATGTAAATTCAAAATTATGACTGGAAAATATGGCGTAAAATACCATTTTGGAGACTGGGGAGCAGATGGAAGGATAACATTAAGAACTAAACCACAAAAATATGTTTTAAACAAGTACAGAAAAGGGTGAAATGGGGAAGGAAGTTTCTGCGAAGACTCCACGAGCTGATGAAGGAAGTAGTCTTTCTGCACAGAACAATGAGTCAGTGGCCATAATGAGTTACCGGAAGTCACTCCGTACATGTCTCGATTCCGATGTCTTGTCAGTTAATCATCAGATTACGAGACGAATGCTAAGTGGCTCGAAGCAAAATTCAACAAAGACATTCCGATATCCTGAGTGAGCAGTGCCTGAAATGAACCAGATTTGCGCGTCTCTTCATACTTCGGCATTAACTTTATAGGGAGACAAAACATAGCACACACTTTATGCTAATGAGGGCTGGTGCATTTGTAAGACAACATTAAACAGTATGGGAAGTTTTAACCCAGATTGGAGTACAATAATTAACTAACCCAACCATCTAACGCTACATATGCGTTGTGGCACCTGGGGCTGGCTTGACCACGGGGCACAGCAAAGTTGAGTGGTGTTCCCCCTCCAGGGTAAAGCGGACGGAGCTTAATGTTGGGCACGCATCAATTTAGTACGGAGGTTAAGAATGAGTGGGGTTCTTTCTACACTCCCACATACACTTTTAATGATAACTTTAATCTTTATACGTTATGCATGAAAATACGTCGGTAAGTGAGCTAGTGATTATATGGACTTAATAAATTATGCTGCATTTTAAGAACGATTTGTAATTACAAATTACATCAAACAGAACAATTAAAAATTAAATTCTAACTTACATGGCCGAAGTCATATTTGATTAGTGTATCAGTGATGGGCGCTTCGATAAACCCCATTACTTAGTTTGATACAAAAAAGTTAACTCGTTCCGTCACCAACAGGCTTTGTTGTTATCTTCGCCTCCTGTGACTTAGGAACGTAATTTGTTCACGTCTGTAGCATTTGGTGGTAATTACCTTCTTCAGATGCGTCACAGACTTTCCCTTGTTTCCTTGCATGTGAATTGGAGTATTCACTTGTCTCTTCAGTCTTCGTCTGCGACTTCAAGATTCTAAAATATAGATTAATGGCGAATGTTTGCGAATATTTTCCGTGCAATGTGGAATTGTTGGAGTCTAACTTACAAGGTTCTTAGAGACTCGTGGAAGGGAATAAAAACATGTTAATATAGTAAATTAAAGCGTGTTTTAGAATTGTATGTTACGAAATGAAAGAAGATGAATAGGAAATTTGCGTATTTCTTGAAGCAGATATAACAGAAAACCGCCTTTGAATGATTTTTACGCACAAGGGTAACTCGCTGTATTAGAAAAATGAATTGTATATATTTTGAGGAAAGAAGCAGTGATTCTTACCTTCGAAATGAAAAAGGGCTTGAGAATTTGGTTTACAAGACAAAGGCAACATAAAGTTGAGGTTTCCCAAACGCAGGCGCTAACGAAAGTGCGTTATTAACAAATGCAGTGAATTTACGTAAGTGACCTTCAGGATAATTTTCTTACGATTTTCCTTTGTTTATGAATATTAGCAGCACACTTTCCTACCTTGTGCTGCTGTTGTGTGGGAGGACAGACAATGGCACAAGCTCGCCGGAATCGGTAACCTGGAACAAGGATGAATATCGCGGTGCCTTATCAGCGACCTCTTCGTAACTAGGAGGCGGATCCACCTGCAAAAAGCAAGAAGAAGGAACAACTATAAAAACTGCCGAGAAGCTCTGAAACATGTATGGTAGACCTTCAAGGAAAACGTATCTCGAAACAACTATTTTGTATGTTTTCTATAAAAATCAGCATATTTATCAACAGTTAAATAATTCGTCATCCCCGATAGTAGAATCGGCTAATATTATCACAGAATTATGACGTCAACTCCACATGTAAATTTCTTTGTTCATGTTACTGGTTATCGTACAGTTCTGAATTGCAAGAATTATAACTTCAGCAAAAGTCGCTTGGCAAAGGGAAAAAGACTGACTTGCTTTGAATATCTCTCGTTAAAATTATTTAAGTCTGAAAGGAAAAAAAGACTTAACACAACGCAAATTATTGTTATCATCACCGACCAGCATATATCATAATCTGTTGTTATAATTTAGGGCACAGGTATTTTGTTGTTTTCAAATAGATTAAAACCACTAAAAACGTATTTTTAAATCGTAATAAAGCAAACCTAGGCATAAAGATTGTAACAAACGAAGTAATTCCACGAAGCAGATTCCTTTTTGAGAAGCTAACAGTGACTCAGCTACTCAAGACACTTCCCGCCATTTAAGAACTTAAGAAGTTCATTACCTTGTTCACAAAAATGTGCCCTTGGTTTGCAATCTGAGTCCAAATCAGACCAACCATCTTCTTTAAGACGCTTTTAATATTATCTCTCCCATCCACGACTCGGTCTTTCGTTTTAAAATTCTGTATTCATTTTTCACACTCCATATTCCCCATCCACATCTCTCTCTTTAATCCCATTAGGTGCATACAAGCCTTGAAGTGTCCCTTAAATTGCGCCAAACAAATGTAATTTAATAAGGGCTTATCACACCGAGATTCATCCAAATCACCCCTTGGTTTGGCCGTTGTTGCTTGCAGAGAAGCATATCATTACGAATAAGTATTACAGGCATTTTTTATATTTTTTTGAACGCATCTCAAAACAATATATTGTACTTGTGTCTTAAGAGTTGACTTTGGCCGTTGTTGCTTGCAGAGAAGCAGATCATTACGAATAAGTATCACAGGCATTTTTTATATTTTTTTAAACGCACCTCAAAACAATATATTGTACTTGTGTCTTAAGAGTTGACATGCCTGATATCAGGAGTTGTAAGGCATTTTTTTGAGTCCTTTGAACTTACTTCACCCTTCATCCTAGAAATTCTTATTTGTACTGAGCAAATAAAAAACGAATGTGGTGCATGAAATGTTGCTTACGATATTTGTCGGTATTTTGAAACTTGGTTTCAATTTAAAATCTTGCTGTGAATCATCTGTCCGTGTGCATGGCCTCAACGTGAGTCACGCTTGTATTAGCGTCGTCTAATTGAACTCCTTGCCCCGGTCTGTAGCTACCACGGCCTTTATTGAAGGAACACATAGTGCCCGCAAAATAGCTGCGAGCTTCAGCCACGTCAATAAAATTCGGTACGGAAAGATGGAAATGACAGGCGGGAAGTAGAGTGTACATTTTCTCATTTTCATTTCAACACAATCGACGACGTTTTTATTCAGCTATTTTAAACGACACTGTGTTTTTTTGTTGAACAAATGAACTATAAAACCAGCAATGCAATCACAAGTCAAAACCCGCACTTGCTACTTCTGCAGTATAAACGTAATAATTTCACATCTGATAATATACAGGGAACGACTGGTTGGTTATCTCTCCAAATGTGGTCTTCCCCTCCCTCCCTCGCGTGCATTTGTAACTGTAGATTACAGCTCCCGAATGCTAGGCTATGTGAACATGGAATCTAGCACAGCGGTTCCAACCCGCGGCCCATCGTTCCTTTTAACGTAATATTTTCCAACTCTGGACAATTAAAAATATATATATAACATCAGAAAACATGCTTTGTTAACGTCAGCAACCATCGCTGTGAGCTTTACGAAAATCATTAAATAAAAACTGGAATGTTTCTTAATAACATACACAGTGAAGGCACACATATGAATATTAATGAACATAAATAAACCGGATACCAAAAGACAGCTAAAAAAAACGGTGTCAAACGCCAAATAAAATGTTTTAAAAACTTATTGAGTTGTACAAGGTAAATGTTCAGAGCCTTCGAATTTGTGTTATGGAGTCCCGCACAACAGCCATTGCACACACTTATCTGAACACGCAAGTCGTTCGTACTATCGAAGGCCTTCGAACTCGTGACCTTCTTGTATACATGCCAACAGCCGTCACATTATTTCTTTCTTCTTTCCTTCATTTCATTTCTTATTCCATCCGAAACGATTTAGTTTTATTATTTTATAATTTAGACCAGTGGTTTTCAACCTGGGGTACGCCTACCCCCGGGGGTACGCGAAGACATCTTAGGGGGTACGTGAAATTTAAAAAAAGTATTATTTTATAAGCACTGAATAATCAGGGCCAGATTTAATACATTATTTTGGATGTAATTTATTTAATTTATTTTAGAAGTAAATTATATGCTATGTATAACTTTAATTATACACTAACAACTTTGTGGGTACAAAGTTGAAGAGAAATTATATCTGGGGGTACGCGAACAAAAAATTTTGAATACCACTGATTTAGACGATGGACAAAGCCCGAAACAACCATTTTACGTGTTATAAGCTCTGGACAGTTTCTGCCTTGCACGTACCCAAAATACTGTCACGCCGTCAAAGTGAATTCACACAGCGTCCACTACCAATGACCTGCGATATTGGAGGTCAACGTGAAGGAATGGAGAGAGGGTGCAACAAGAATACTGAAGTAGAACGACGTCGGGCGAGGCTGAGGCTCTACCAAGAGCTGGGTTCCTTTTCAAATTGACGACTCCGTAGAGGTTTGTGACAATGACTGATCAATCAAACGATTACTACTTCGGGCACTGTCCACTGCGTGTGGTACGTCTGTTGTATAAAAGATGCAGAAAATATGAGACGAAGAATCGGCAATGCTGCTTCTTATTCGGAAGGTCTCCGGTCCAAATTTCGGCCCAGAGACCAGTTATGCATAAATATGGAGCGAGAAAAACCACTTTTTGAGGTGGGAGCTAAGTATAAATATATCCTTATGTGTAAAGAAACATTTAATCTGAAACGTTCTAAATAATATGTTGAATTACAGACTCACCTTTGAAAATTTCACTGATTCCCGTCCGTGCCTTCTAGTGTCAATGAATCGTGCAAGTAACAGAGTAGGTCCGATCACCAACATTGTTGTTCCCACTGTTATCAAAATGGCCGAAGTTGGATTGATTTTATTTCCCTTCTGCGGACTGGATATCTCTCTATTTGCCTCTGTGGATGTTGAATTTTGTTCAATAATTCTTTCTCCTTCCGTTGTTCCTTCAAAAATAAGACAGGAAACGCCAATTTGAACACAATGACCTCATCAAGATCCTAATAATTACAGACAAATATGACCCAACACTGACCTTTATATTAGCCTATTAGGTTTAGATAATACGGTCGGTGACATTACATTAATTTCTTCAGAAATTTACTGCTCGGCAGTCGATGAACGCTTTGAGGGCTGTTTCAACACCGAATAATTTCCCACTATGGCGACATTTCTTCGCCGGTCCGTTCGGCCGATCTGTCGGCATAAAATTTCTGTCTATGGAGATACTTGAAAAACAACGTTTCAAACACAACCAGAAAACTTAAAACTGAGAATTTCTGAAGAAATTAATACCATGTCACCGACCACGTTACAACGCGTAATGTAAAGTGTTATAAATAAAGTGAACCAGTTATCAATCTTTATGGACGACATCTGACGCGTGTTATTGTTAAGAAGTAACTTCGTTATAATGTTCCTCAGTAACCGCAGACACTTACCTTTCAATTTGCATTACTTTTAATAAAGATCTTGTCGTAAGCCGTTCGTCTCCCACCTCTGATCAAGCGGCCAGGATTATAATGTACCTTCCAGGCATGTAACTCAGCACAGGGACAGACGCGTATAGGTCAAGCCTCTTGCCAACTTGTCTGCTACCAGTTAGCACACTTTACTGTATCCAATTTAACAGTTGTTCACCTCAAGTAGCTGCTTAGATAATTGGAAGTAGGCGGGTTATATTTGCTACACGTTTGCCTTCAGTTTGATATCTCATTAATGAACTTCAGGAAAAATATGCATGAGGAACTGTTCATATAAAACCTTAATTAATTAATAAAAATAAGAGCTGCATTATCACTCTGGATAAATATTAAAACATACATTAAAACCAGGGTCACATTCGTTAAGGAAGGAAACATAACGTCCTTTGTTCCAAACTTCTTCACATTCATCATTAACCCAGTTGAAAGAAAATCTCTCATTCCTGTTCCTTCAGTCTTCCCGGACTAATTGTGGATTCTGTATAACAGATACTGAATGTATGGACATACTCAGAAAGACGGGAAGGCAACGGACAGATGCCCGGGGTTTGATACAAGAGTTTAGGAAGAGTGTTAATAAAAGCATTTAAGAAAGAATTAAACACAGCCAACAAAAATAAATGAATACAAAAACACTGAGCGGTGAAGATGGTAATTGAAGCCCTACCAAATACACCAAAAAGGCAGGAGATGCAGAACGACCTAAGTAGAAAAAGCCGAATGGACGAAAATTAATTGATCAAGTGAATAAAATAATTTTTAAAAGGTAATCGCAGTCTCACAAAAACCACAGTGGAAGAGGCGTTGTTTACGAAAAACAAAATTTTATCAAGTTTCACAAGGACAGCAAGTCGTATGAATATTATGAAACACGCAGGTTACTTCATCGAGGTCACACTTTTTACCTTTAATGTTTTCAAAATATTAGAATGCTTCTATGTGCAGTGGATTTAACAAAAAGAGAGTTAAAACTGTGTTCTTCATTCTGCAGAAACCACAAAACAGCAACTAAAAACCAACCATCGAACCAACTCCATGGAGCAAAGCCCTCCTTCGGAAACTGATAGTCGCCAAACGACATTTCTTCGCCGGTCCGTTCGGCCGATCTGTCGGCATAAAATTTCTGTCTATGGAGATACTTGAAAAACAACGTTTCAAACACAACCAGAAAACTTAAAACTGAGAATTTCTGAAGAAATTAATACCATGTCACCGACCACGTTACAACGCGTAATGTAAAGTGTTATAAATAAAGTGAACCAGTTATCAATCTTTATGGACGACATCTGACGCGTGTTATTGTTAAGAAGTAACTTCGTTATAATGTTCCTCAGTAACCGCAGACACTTACCTTTCAATTTGCATTACTTTTAATAAAGATCTTGTCGTAAGCCGTTCGTCTCCCACCTCTGATCAAGCGGCCAGGATTATAATGTACCTTCCAGGCATGTAACTCAGCACAGGGACAGACGCGTATAGGTCAAGCCTCTTGCCAACTTGTCTGCTACCAGTTAGCACACTTTACTGTATCCAATTTAACAGTTGTTCACCTCAAGTAGCTGCTTAGATAATTGGAAGTAGGCGGGTTATATTTGCTACACGTTTGCCTTCAGTTTGATATCTCATTAATGAACTTCAGGAAAAATATGCATGAGGAACTGTTCATATAAAACCTTAATTAATTAATAAAAATAAGAGCTGCATTATCACTCTGGATAAATATTAAAACATACATTAAAACCAGGGTCACATTCGTTAAGGAAGGAAACATAACGTCCTTTGTTCCAAACTTCTTCACATTCATCATTAACCCAGTTGAAAGAAAATCTCTCATTCCTGTTCCTTCAGTCTTCCCGGACTAATTGTGGATTCTGTATAACAGATACTGAATGTATGGACATACTCAGAAAGACGGGAAGGCAACGGACAGATGCCCGGGGTTTGATACAAGAGTTTAGGAAGAGTGTTAATAAAAGCATTTAAGAAAGAATTAAACACAGCCAACAAAAATAAATGAATACAAAAACACTGAGCGGTGAAGATGGTAATTGAAGCCCTACCAAATACACCAAAAAGGCAGGAGATGCAGAACGACCTAAGTAGAAAAAGCCGAATGGACGAAAATTAATTGATCAAGTGAATAAAATAATTTTTAAAAGGTAATCGCAGTCTCACAAAAACCACAGTGGAAGAGGCGTTGTTTACGAAAAACAAAATTTTATCAAGTTTCACAAGGACAGCAAGTCGTATGAATATTATGAAACACGCAGGTTACTTCATCGAGGTCACACTTTTTACCTTTAATGTTTTCAAAATATTAGAATGCTTCTATGTGCAGTGGATTTAACAAAAAGAGAGTTAAAACTGTGTTCTTCATTCTGCAGAAACCACAAAACAGCAACTAAAAACCAACCATCGAACCAACTCCATGGAGCAAAGCCCTCCTTCGGAAACTGATAGTCGCCAAACTACTAAAAAATTTGAAGATTTCTGTCTTCTGGGTTGTTGCGCTGTGTAGTCTGGTCGATGTTTACCGACGTTTCAGAGGTCATACTGCCTCCGTCATCAGGGCGATAAGTATGAAGATTTCTGTCTTCTGAGTTGTTGCGCTGTGTAGTCTGGTAGATGTTAACCAACGTTTCTGAGGTCATACTGCTTCCGTCATCAGGTCGATTCTTTCTAAGTTATCTACGCTATGAAGATTTCTGTCTTCTGGGTTGTTGCGCTGTGTAGTCTGGTCGACGTTTACCAACGTTTCAGAGGTCATACTGCCTCCGTCATCAGAGCGATGTTGCCTAAGTCAACGGGAAATTAATTTTTGCGTACCAAATTATTTTTAAGCACCGAATTCCTTTCATTTATATAATTAGTGTAGATGTATTCCTTTATATTTCACGACAGACAAGAAGCACTGTAGACAAATTAATGCCCTTCTTGTTATAAACGGCCTTCATTACGTTTCGGCAGCTGCGTCATTTATGGACGTAATTTCTAGTTACAGCTGAAAGCATTCTCGCACTGCCGACTGCTTCCAAGGTTTGCTTTTTGTTTCTAAAGTGACGGTTAGGTTGATCGACAAGGACAAGAAGGGGGATTAGGGGTCACAGGATATATGTAATATTGTCCCTGCGTTTAAACACGACCTCGTGTTGAAAAACAGGGGGGTCATGGAGGTGAAGCTGTCCTTTACCTCGGCCGACAATGAAAATTTGACAGAAAAGACAAAAATTCAACTACTTTCACATTGTGTACGTGTTACTGAAACTAAAGCGTTGCGGAAGTTGATTCTACTTCCGTCTTCAGGAGGACAACCGCCTGATTTTGTGGTCCCCTGGGACTAGTTTGGTTTGAGACCAGCTCGACCTGGGAGCCTTAAATATGACATTCCTCCTCTTCTTCTGCGATTTATTTAGTTAGAAGCCTCCCAAGTTTATAAGGTAGACGGAAGCATCTATGATTTCCACAATCTAAAGACATACTCAGGCATGTTACAAATTATAATTACTTCAGTACATTAATAAATTTTGAATTTATGCTTTTAATAGAAAATTCTTTATAGGATGACAATTCTAATAAAATCTACGTTGTGGTATTCATCTGTGGAGTCCTTGAAACGCACAGCGGAAACCCCAAGTTTATAGATCACTGGCACGGAGCACCAATTATTAAATGCAATGGCAAAGTGGAACAAATGCAAGGAAGTGGCGTATAATTTGTCCCAGTCTACCAGCTACGAAAGACCCTCAGTATAAATCTACCTTCATTTTCATCAAATGCTCTGCTTTTCTTGGTATCGCTTGGCTCCCTTGTTGTCATTTGCACAGACGTAGTCCTGTTGTCCGTGTCGTAGAACAGTTCGTCACCGGTTAGCGTAGCAACGCCTCGGAGTATCAGGAGAGCACCTACTGCACACCACGAGATGATCTGCACAAATATCACTGCGCGACCAGACCGACTCTGATCTGACCTGGCCCTATGAGTTTCATTTGCCATTGTGCCCGAATGCCTAAACATAAACAGGGAGACTGAAATATGCGACATCCACGGAGTCCTTCGTGATAAAGTTCACTCAGGGTGGGGGAAGGGGGAATCCTATTTCTGAGACTGCTCACCTAATGGACGACGAATGTTGGTTATCTCGCGCACATTTTCTGCTGTCAGGTAGAACGATAGATCACGTAACTAAAGAGTTTCAGCCATCAACTGCCATTAGTTACAACAAACCAACATGTTTTTCATGTTTTCTGTCGTTTGTTGGTGAAAAATAATATAGATTTTAATAGTAGAAAGCGCCAGTCTGTCCAAAGAGATAATGTACAATACTAACACTCACTGCATAAATGGTAACACATCTGTGGCATTTAACTGTGTGAAATCTTGGCTACTTTGTTTTTCTCAACTTGTTTATGTGTTACAGGTGCTGCTCGTATATAATTAATTTATGTTAATTCGAAGTTCTAATTAACGTTGATCGAAGCAACAAAAACTTAATTAAAACATCTCGGTTGCTGATAACAAGTCATCAACAAAGGACTTTACTGAATGAAATAAGGTTAGAAATTTCTGTAGTCCCTGGACACAATGTAATCCTCATAGCGTATGCGCACACACTTTAATAATGTACTTAAAATATATCTGATGTCACTATTGTTGACTGTCACCAAACGAAACAGTGTTATTGTTATCTTACAAGAAATAGCATATTTGAAGTTTAAATTACTTCGTGAAGGGACAGATTTATAAGCGTGTACAAAGCAGTGAAAAATAACAGCTTAAAAAAACACTTCGACTAAGAAAAAAGCAACTGCTTTAGAAAGCACTGGATAACGAGAAGTGTTAAAACATAGCGAAAAAATTCGTTGTGTTTTATTAATCTGCGAAAAGTCCAGAACACTGCACACTGTCAACACATCCGAAAGTCGTGTCTAAATCATTGTCTTGAACACAAGCAAACCCTGTGAAGGTACCAAGAAATAACGTGTAATCTTCACGAAAACAACACATCACACAACCGCCTGTCACATAACGTGTTGGATTCTCTTCTACGATACTACACGCTGAGCTTCAGTGAGTCATCTTTGTAAGAGTCCCCACTGCTAGGGGTGGGGCTTAACACCACAGCCAGCCTATGCTACTGTGAACTCGTAAACATGTGACGCTCTGAACATGCTACCTGCAGTTCCTGCCTGTTTAAGTAACTTTACTTTGAGAATCATACGAAACGTCACCAAGGCGACGATAGAGAAAGCAGCCACCTTTGAAACGCGATGAAATTCTACCAGTCCACAAGGCGAAACATCCCAGAAGACAGCCACCATCCTTAGGTCTACATCTTTGCACACATCTTACCAGATAAATATAGCACAATTACTTAATTTGTTTGCCTTTTTACCGACCAATTCTAACGAGAAATTTCTGACGAACATTTTCAAAAGCCTTCGTGCGTAATTCTTATTGCGAATATTCAGTGAGGATAACCATGGCGTTTCTTTGTTTACAGTATCTCATAAAGACTTTAATTACTACACATATTTCGTAAACAGACATGCTCAAACATGTTACAAATAATGAAGTCTTCACGGGCAATATCCGTGTCAGGTGACCTTAAAAACCGACATTTCGGTTCTAATTATTAGGGATCTGATATGTCTGCGGAGCCCAGGATAACCCACACACAGACACTCACACAAATATATATATATATATATATAAAACCGGATCGCACACGCATGAGGCTGTTATGTGTACAGCAGTCAAGAAAGATGAAGTACCAGCCCTCAATTATGACAGTCACCGGTACGTGAAATCAGAACAGGCTACGGACCGCTTGAAGTTATGCGGATCTGTGCGAATTTTAAAGTATAAAGAATGCTAAAGACGTCTGGCTATCTTCCAAAAATTTGTTCCCTGTAGTCTGGTCGATATTGACCGATATTTCAGAGGTGTTCACTACCTGTTGCCCCGTGATGGCGGAAAGCAGCTTTACTTAAACTTGCTCAGTATCTACCAGACTTCATGGCGCAACGTACAAGACGACAACCTCGTGTACACTCGTCGTAGTAAACTCGAATCCAATTCGTACACAAAAATATTAAAAAATAAAAACTGCAATGGGAACAGGTCTGTAAGTTGCATGACTTTCAATACCCGGTCTTCTCAGATAACTCACCCAGCAGGTGTGTTGCTTGGGTTGCCTAGCAACAGGCGCTTTCACCAACTTCAGCGCAGTCACCTCAAACGTTTACGTGTGACTTTGCCTCCCGTCACAGACATAAATTACAACACACGGCACACAGCTGTGTCTTATGAGCACAACACATTTTCAACTTATGAGATTTTCAAGGCGATGAGTAAGACGATGTCTGTCTTCCGGTTTGTAAACGACTAACACGGCGCTACAACCCAGATGACAGCCTTCTCTTAATTCATCTACCTAAAAACAGGGTTCAGTGGCGATCTCTTATGAGCATGATAACAAACCTAAACGTTACAGAAAGACAAACATGTTCTTGGATAGCTGAATTACAATCAGACCCCCAAGAGAAACTGAGGTCCATTGGGTTACACAGGGTCTGTAGTACTGTGTATATTTTTATTGGGCAGTAGATTAAGTGTTTTATTCCTGAAATAATGAACATAATGACAGTATGTATGAATCACCATGTATCTTAACTTGGCGATTGTTTGACGAAACTTATATTTACGGAAGAAAACAGTAACCACTGATGAGAATAGGAATGTAGCGTGCGGCCAGGAAAAAATTGAAATCCCTGAATTAAAACGAAATACTCTCTTCCTTTCGCTTCATTTGTACCACACTACAATCTGTAAATTTCGACGTTTGTGTAAAAATTTCAGGCACAGCCATCTAGTTGAGTAGTTCCGCATCGCTACCTGATTTCGTTATTGGTCGAATAGAAATAAGATATGTGACATCTGTTATCTATTTCCTGTACGTTACGAAGAGAGTTCCTGTAACACTCCACAGATGGCGCTGTATATTTTAGAATCGTCGTTGAATCGTTTCTGTGAACTCGGTAATTATCTTTCTGGTCTTACATATTATGAGCACTTCTTGATCAGCTGAGCAAACTATCAATTTATCAAAAACGTTCTCCTGTATTTTCTAGACCCAAACCACGAAGAATGACCTTGAGTAGTCGACCTTCGAGCTACATCTCTTTAGGCCTTTATGACAGGATTCGATGCTTTTCCGATCGCCCCACAGTTGACGGTGCTTCATACGTAGTCATCCAAATAATTGTACTTGCAATGTTTATTGGTTTTCAGTGTTAGGTGATAAGTTGATCACGACTCATGAATTCCAGATAACACAAAACTGAGTATTTATTTATTTATTTATTATCCTATACTAAGGATAACAGTAACACTCAAGACACGATATTCAATATTATAGCCCAGATATTTATAAAACGCAAACCAACTGCTCTACCGATGACATAAACCTTCTTGGCGCCTGGTTTATGGTCCAAAACAAACGACTTCATGTATGATGATATTGACAAAAACACTATATTACTTCTAATGTATTTACTCAAAATCTGGCGATTATCACTCGCTGATATAATTCAGCTTTTGTTAGTTTACGTGACATGATTTACCGGATCTTCGTTAAAATTCGTGGGGATTTAGGATGTTATACTGATGCAATGTTCTGTTTACATGATGTTTTTGCTTGAATAAAAGAAAAGTGTTCTCATAAGTTTCATGGCCATTATTTGAAGAGCTCTCTACATTTGCGTAAAAATATTAATCGGTGATGATACTTGGGTCTTTCAGGATAAACTATAAACCAAAATTCTATTGGATATTACATGACTACCGAAACCCAGAAATGCACGAGTGTTAAAATAAATGTCAAAATTATGTTACACTGAACTTCTTCAAATTGGTTCCTTCTAACAGCGAACACATAAAATTTAGGAACGCTACCAGTAAGTAGGGTGGTTTTTTTTACAAAGTTCAGAACGGCCGAACTGTTCTCTCATCCTGAATGTTTCTGCAGTTCAGCACAACAGCTATCGATATTCGTTTGCTTCTGAGTTATTCAAGGAAAGAAATTACTTGTGTGATAATATGCTCTGTATTTACTAGACAAATTTTATTCGATATAAATAGATATGCCTTTCTAGTCACAGTGTTTCTAAAAATGTTTGGTACGACGGATCACCACACCAAAATTATCTCACTCATTTCTGTTAAAGGTAATATAGACAAACCAAAATATAGACAGAAGGTATATATTGTAATGGTATTGCGCCAATGTGGAGGCATGAAACATTACAACAAAATAACAAAGTGGAAAGATTAATTTATGTTTTTCCCCAAAATTACGATTTTGAATTATTTGTTGATTTTAATGATATTGTACAAATTTGCTATTGACGTATCTAATAATCGCAGGTACGAACATCACAATGAGTAAAGCCGTAAGAGGTTTTATTGGTATATGTAATTAGCAGTGCATGTTTTGCAGAGACATCTATATTTTATTTTGTTAAATATAAGCTATGTCAAATAACATGAGGTCATCACCGTCTTCTCAGCGTATTGGCATAAAACAATGTTCGAGAAGCTTTTGTGATCCCTCCTTCCACAGAATGTAACAAGGTAAGCGGAAATTGCAAATAACTGTGATTTTGATTTAATTCTGGGTATAGTTTCCTTTAGCGTACAAACTAATTATATTTACGCAACATCTGCGGGATTTAATCTTAAGTTTTTGTGCTCTGGTTAAGTTGGTAATAAAACAAGCATCACACAAAATATATAAGTATATTTATTATCTGTTGGCATACGTTTAACATTCACACTCACAGCGTCACCGTTTCGGTGCTTACATTATTCAGAATGGACTCTAAAAGTACATATTTCCGCATCCGCCATATCATTTTACATTTTACGGAAATAAAAGTTCACTACACAATTGTACAGGCTATGTATTTTAGGTATTATCCCAACATTTCAGGAATAGTTTGTAATTAAATTTCTTCCACGTGAAGAAAACAAACGTTAGCCATTTTAATATTATTGGCTACGGTATACAAAAACATGCAAATTTTGGAGAAGGCATCAGTGGCATAACATACTTACCAATTTATTTAAAGCTTGCAGTAAGACACAAGTACTCACACAATATAAAATATTTATGCTTCGTATTGTTCGTTTCTTGGTTAGAGTGTCATATAAAGTTTAATGCATAAAGCGATCTATTTCCAAAGCACTTTTTCTTTACGGAGACATTGGCTGTTAAGTGCATCGACCGATATAATCGGCAAATACATAAAATTTATCAATATATTCAACCATGACAGTAAATGAGATGTCATATCACATACTTCAGTTTTAAAACCTGACTGAGAATTTGCGTATCCGGGAACCATGTTCCGAACAAGCATTTAGTTACAAGCATTAAACAGGAATTTATTAAAAATTGACGATACAAAAACAAGCAATTATATTGTTTCAGTTTTTAAGATAACTGGACGAAGAACGGATAGGCTGCTTTGTTACCTAGGTAATTTTTAAAGGAAAATAACCTGAAAAATCTTTAGGTGCCAGTGTAAAATAAATATTGCCAGCCATCTCCAAGCTAGGTCTTGGTATTGGCCGTGAAATCAGTTAATGTATTCGCTTACCACCAAATCATTTGGCTCGGGTTTAAACTGAAAAACTCTCAACGAGCGTCAGTTCTTCACCCCATAGCCCAGACCTCGAACACACAACTCCTTATTGAGATAATTCAGTTCGCAGCTTCATATCTTATTTTAAATTGATTTTATCAGATTCATTTTAATATTATACTTTTCAAAGTTATATTTAGTTTCAAACGCATTTCGTATGAACATTTAATCTGCCCCAGCCTACCGCGTCATTTTTGATCTGATCGTTTCAGTATGCAATTTTCTACAACTTCTTACTTCCTCTGCGATCATACAGCTGCAGATATTAGATTCATCCGAATATTCCTGATGATTTAATTTTATTTCTTAGTATTCTTTCCCTCTGTCTTTACGAACGTAATGGTCTAACACCGATGAATTCTCATCGCATCGTGTAACACGTGGTTTCGAACATTAAACCTGTCTGGTGTTTAAAAATAATGTACTCCTTCAGGCATCACGACGAAGAGACAATCATGTCTTCTTCCAAATATAACAAGAAGAAACTTCTCTCCACACGCTGTTTTGTATATTTAAAGGTGTTAGCTGATGAACGATGTACAAGGGTATTTAGGGGTCGTTCAGAGAACTTACGTTTCTTTTGTGTTCTTGTGTGAATGAGTGTCACAATTCGCTTTTTTATCCTGCTACAGACACAAGAGTGCCTTGTTGGACGTCGAAGACATTTATTGAATCTGAAAAAAAAAATCCAACTGCTAGGCTTAAGTAACGTGTAACGGCGCACCTAAAATGTTAAAATAGTCTCCAGGTGCATTGTGTTTCTCAGTCATTGTGAAGATCATTGATCGTCTTCCTGTTTTCATAAGAGATGACTCCCCCCAGCTATTCTAGAAGAAAGACTTCTTGTAGTTAAATTTTCCGTACACTTAAGAGCAAATAAAATACAGGGCTTACAAGGAACAGCTTGTTTATTCTTCATACATATCATATTCTATTTACATAGTTGGACGTGTTTAACCACAATTTGTTAAAAACCTTTCAAGACGTTATACAGACGTCACATCGTTAAAATCACAGTTCCTACAGCCGTCTCTCAAGTCAATATTTAAACCCAACTAGAAGGGTGAAAAGATTCAATATTTCAGGGTTCTTCATCAGTTAATCTTTGTTTTATGCGTCAAAACGCCTGTTAACATTTAAATTTATTTTTAATATTACGACAGTGAACTATTTTAACATAACATTTTGTGGAGACAATTCCGTAATTTGATGGGAGGGACACAGATCGGACACATATTATACGCATATAATGAGTTCAGTCTTAACGAAAGGGAACTTGAAAGACCTACGTGTGGTTGGACGGACAACATCAAAACAATTTATCTGAAATATGTTGCGAAAGTGCGGACTAAATATATCTTGTCTCAAAATAGGGACAAATTGCGGGATATTACGAACACACGTGTCACAAAATATGGAGTTTCATAAAGGTTGAATATTTTGCCAACTAAACGACTATTAACTTGTCAAATAGCGTTCATCAGAATTCGAATAAAATCCATCACGAGTTCTTATTCCCATTATTCATGAGGACTGACAGACAAGACGAGCATGTAAAAAAATTTCCTATTACATTCTTACATAAACGCCAGAAATATAAAACAAATTAAATTTGAAAGACGATTATATTTACATATTAAGTTTTCGCTCAGTCTGGACAATGAGGAAGAGTTTAAATATATCGATAATCATTTGTCTGTACAATATTATAAGTATATGTAAATGTCAATAAAGTTTGCTGTTGGTTTTCTGGTCTATTTTGTTTAAAAGGGCTTACCGAATATTTTCTTTAAGAAAATAATATTATTTGTAGCAGAAATTTCATAAACAAGTACTTTAAATTTTCTTGTTAGAAATCTGAAGTAAGTAGTTTATAATGTCTACATCCTTATGCAGCAATATAAAATTACGACTGACAAAATTCTGTGTTGGATCCGATTACAAGTGGGCAAAACAGTTCGATAAGACTTCACGTTCTTACGGCGACTTCGGACGTTGCACAGGAACTGACCGACATGTCAAGCGTGCTTGCTGCCTCCATCATCAGGACGATATGTTTTTGAAAATTCCAGAAACTGATGTACGACGTACGGTGCTCCATCTTTCCGTCCGGACTCCAATGGCCCACGTAAACAGGAAGCGAACACTACAGAAAGCAGTGTATTGTCTGCAGTACTCGATGGGTGCCTGCTATTGGCTTATTCAGCGGTGCTTTAGCAACTACACTGGTTATACTCCTGCATGACCGCAACTTAATTCCAGACCTGAAATATGCAACACTGATTACAATCTTCATTTGATGGGACACTTCAAAAGAAAATTATGTATTGGAGTACACAAACGGAGACATTATTTGACAAATGTTGAAGCAAAATTGGAAGGTCGTCTCCCCTTACTTAATATTACAAAACATTTGAATTGCATTCGTTATTTCGGTTCTACGTTAAATTTGTCTGGCCAATAAAACCCCTTGGTACCGAACCTCGTACAATCAATTTTTTTTCAAGTTCAGTCCTTATCTGAAGCAAATAAAAGGTTTTTCAATACAAGGATGGATATATTAATGGTGCTTAGTGATGTCATATCCCTTAATTTCGAGAATGATACAAAACCCTCCAAAATACGCTCAGGACGAGTCAAATGTTATAGAATGTTGAAGCAGAGAAGCACAATATAATTACCACTAGAATTTGTAGGGTCAATTTTAATGCTCTACGTTCTTAAATAAATACTCTACAAAATGAATCTCAAATCAAACATGGCTGAATTTATCACAATATCCTTATCACAAAAGACGTTTGTGGGTTACAAACGGGATTTAAAGTATTGTAAAATAAACCAATTAGAATATAAAAAACTTGAGCGAAAATTACCATTTCAAGTAAGACTTCTCAGAGGATTTAGAGTCCTCATCTTTGAATATAGCATTTTTTCATCTAGAATACTCCAACCTAAACAACACTAAAAAGGACGTCATCGACAACGGCATCGGAAAGAGACGTACAAATAATAATTTAAAAATGGAGTGTGTCGTAAGTTTGACCCTGTTTCGCCAAAGAAAGATGCATTTATGGGCAAGCACCACGCAGCTTCTGCAGGTAAGACTTCGGAATTAATAAATTACCACAGTAACAGCAAAGCAAATTATGGAAACTTATAAGTAGAAGAAAGGGATCCAAGAGTGACGCAATTGGAGAAAATTAGATTTATTCGCTTCAAAGACAAAATTACGCCATAATAAGGAATAATTAACAAGTTTAATGTTTAAAATGAAGGCTGCTTCACATCTAACTAAAGAAAAGAGAGGAAAAAAGTTGTTCTCGTGATTTTAAAATTGTTTTGAAGAACATTAATTATGTAGACAGACTAAAAATAAAAATAAAGTAAGAGTTGGAAATTTAGAACACCAATAATATTATTGATATATAGCGATATAATTTTACTGTTATGCATCTTTCCTTGTTACACCCCCTCGGCACGATGAGCCACAAGGTCAATGAGGGGGGCCTGAAAAAGAAACAAAATCAAAATTAATAAATGTGAAAGAGAAACAATAGCAAAAGGTACCACGGTTGCTGACGAAAAGAATCTTGGAAGGCTGAAAACTCCGTCACATATTTCACTCCTTTGTTCACCTCCAATCGCGACACATGAAATGACTTTTCTTACTTTCAATTTCGATTAAATAAGCTGATTTATTCTGCCTGAAACAATTCAATCAAAACATTAGAATACCTCACAATTTTTGTTACGTGTTTGAGGACGTGGTTCCAAATAAACGCTGCAGAATAGGAGACATTGTTTCTCCACGATGATCAATAATTTAACAGTCCTCATTTTCTAATGCAGGCTGCAACTGATCCATACCTAACAAAGAGCCTGGTTACCCCCATTTGCGTAGCCTAAAATTTCGAAGTGAGGTTGGGAAAACAGTGGAAAAGCTGCAGCTTGCCAGTACCAAAGAAACAATAAAAGTTCAATGATTCCAAAGTCTTCAAAGGTGAGCCTCTTCGCTGAAAGAAAATCGACGAAGTCTATCTGAAACAATTCAATCAAAACATTAGAATACCACACATTTTTTGTTAGGTGTTTGAGGACGTAGTTCCAAATAAACACTGCAGAATAGGAGACATTGTTTCTCCACGATGTTTAATAATTTAGTAATCCTCATTTTCTAATTCAAGCTGCAACTGATCCATACCTAACCTAGAGCCTGGTTACCCCCCTTTTGCGTCGCCTGGAATATTGAAGTGGCAAAATTATAAAGATTGTAGAAAAGCTGCAGCATGTTAAGGCCAAAGGAATATCGAAGTATTAAAATTCAAGCATCTTAGCAGATGTTTTGTTTCATAATTTCCATTCAATTCAATCAACAATGTTAGAGAACAGGACTTGAAAGCAGATTTTCTGCGGTTTCATTAGTTTTGTCTGTCCTCATAATCGAATTTAATTTGCGGTTTATCTGCAAATTCTTACAGAAATCTAGGCGCACGGTCAATCAAAGAACCTATTGCGCAATGGCATTATTGGCTCTCGTAGTGTTCCGTAGCATGAGCAGCTGTTTTTGATCACGTTCTCTGGAGCATTGTTACCCCCCACCCCCCAAAAAACCTAAAGAACCTAACATGAACGAAAACAGAAACGACTGCAACATGTTAGGACCGCTTCGGTCGCCGCCTCCGGCTGCCAACATAAACCGGTCGAGTTCCACATCCCAGTGCAGTCAGTGTTTTGGTGTTTGTGAGTCTGTTTACAATGGATCAACTATTAATTACGTGTAATTGTGGACGGGTTGCTTCACTCTGTCAACTAAGGGAAGAATCGAGTGCACGCACCATTTTTTATGTAGATACGTCTCAGTTTTGTATGAAAAAAAAAAAACAGTAATTAATTACCTTGTGACAGTAAGAAGATTTTAATAAGATATGATTTTCAAAAAGTTAGAAACATTATTAATACGTTTTCCTCTGAGATTGAGGTACGGTGTTAACAAAATGTACGGTGGAAACGCATCTATCTTAAGCTAAGTACTAGGTAGGTTAGAGTCTTACGTCACTAGATCACCTGAAAACAAGCGACTAGTATCAACGCGTGAACTCTAGACCCTGGTGCATGCTAAACAATTCTGTGCAGAAGAGGCCACAGCTTACACATTCTGCTAGCCTCGAAATTGTAGAGGCTAATTACATTCATGATTCTACCTTCTGAACGAGGCGCTTATCCGATTTCTTATTAAGTTGTGTCAACTTCATATTATACCAAATGCGAACGTGAATATTTAACCATTTAAGGCCAATATATAGCACTTTAGTTCTGAAAATTCGCTCAAGTAACGACCGAATTCTGTATAAGAACGTAGCCTGAATCAACAACAAAATGACCAAAAGCTTCTCGAATGATTAGATGTGTCTCTGCGTGACCTCTCCATATGTGTTGCTTCCCTCGGACACTGGCTGAACCACGAGGTGTTAAGCTTTCTGCAGCCTGCGGACACACTACTCTACCAATGCGGCCCAGTACATTGGCACGGTACTATATCTAAATACATCTAACAACCTAACACTTCGTGTACCTAACACTGTTTGGGGGGGAAAATACGCAATGACACAAGAAGCACTTCCTTAATTATGTAGTGATGTCTCTTGAAATACAGGCTGCCCACTTAACGCTTACATACTACAAAACCCTACGACTCTAAGACAGATGTAGTTTTTGCATTTCTAAATGATTCAGCCAGCGACCCTTACTGAGCGGTAAGCAACGGGGAGACTGCAATAACCACTTAACTTTTTCCCGTGACTTTGATCCTGTCGCTCAGCAGCGGATGATTTGCAGTTACTGAAGCCTGTAGTTTGCTGATGCAGGGGGGGATATTGATGCACATGGGGGCACTGACTAAAGCTGATTTACACTTTGCACTTCACACACATTTAGCATATTTGCTAGAAGCCATATATATGGAGTAGAAACTCCGTTCGAAGCACTATGAGCTTGAAGCACTTTTTGAATCGGTGCACTGAATTTACTCTTAACACACTCGTTGCCTGTATATTTCATACTCTGAACTGATCACTTTACTTCGATGTCTATAACAAACATCAAACAGGCAGAGAATAGATTTCTTTCAAACACTACTTTTCAATCATTACATTGCCTTGACAGTAAAACAAAATTCCGCTCTGAACACGTAATTAATGAAAAAAATTTCGTAGCCTAGCTAAGTTTTATAACTCGCGAGTAAGCAATTTTCTTTCAGTATGAATGATGACTTCGCGACCGATTCACAAAAAACCTGTACAATTCCTAAATCTAACACGGAATTCAAACTTTTCTCGCCAAATTTTCTTACGCATCTATCAAAAATTTTAAAGCATTAGATGTAAAAAAAAAATTATTATCAAATAAGCATTTGTTTGAAACGTTTTGCACTAATTAAACCAATCTCGAAGAACGTGAAAGCTACATGTTCTAATACATATAAACGTCTACTTTTTCATTGGTCGTTTGAGTACGGCGAGTTTTCCGTCTGAAATCAAAATGATCAATTTCGATTGAATGTTGTAGAAGTATCATTTATAGTGAGCGTAAAATAGTGAAATACTGCCAGTTACTTTTATCGACCCGCAATACCCTACTCCATATGCTTAAAGAATATCGACCTTTCGGCAAGGTTTTTAAAATGTGCAGTTATGTTCAGGCTTGGATGGAAAAAAAAAAACTTAACGAACTCTCCTATATACGCGAGGTTTAAAAAAAGACTGCATACTCGGGACACGTCGCATGTTATTAGAAAAGAATTGTATTTAAAATTCAGCGAAAATTTTGTAACGAATATTTAGCAAGGAAATAGCCATTTTGTGTTTTTGCATTTTTGTGACGTGTTCTTTGGTTTCAGGCCGTAAGGCTGTTTCTTGTAAACGGTAATGCCAAACAAAATTCTGGTTAACAATCCAGCAGTTAGAAAACTGCATGCCCATATAGCAACTTCTTTAGACTGAAATGATAGCTAATTACAACTAATTTGGTTTTCCTTTTAAAGTTACCCGAAGATACCAATAAACTTATAACGCCGTACATAAATTATATAATTAAAGATGGTTTAAAATATAGCACTTTTGGGAACCAAATCTTTTGTCTATGTTATAGGAAATATGAATGTCCCTCTCATTAGCCCTCTTTCTTGAAGGTAGAATGCAAGAATGCATTGAATACGGATGTATAAAAATCTAGTCAGAACGTTGTCCGCTAATTTGTTTGCGTTTTCTTTATACCCCAACTTTTGTGGAGGCCCGAGTATGAATATGGAATATCAGAGCTATCGTGGCAATTGCTTATGCTGTGTACCACATCAGAGTAGTTTTTGCCGGCCATGCAGTGTGTAATGGAAATTGTGTACCATCCATAAATTAATGTAAGTAACAACCATTCAATTGTCCATTGATTCCCATTTCACCCATTCATATTTACACAAACACACAATAAGGAAAGCGTAAGAAGGTGTTAGTATATAAAATGTTAGTACCCAAACCTTGTGTCACCCTATAGATGAAGAACACAGCACAAGCAAAATAGCCACATTGTTTTTCAATTAATTTCCATATATTTCGTGCAACAATTTTAAAGCAAGAGATTAATTACGTATGACAGACACGGAAAATTCCTGGTTGCAAAGTGTGGAATACATTTGTTCTGGCTAAAGCAACATTTAATTTAATAAACTCTGCAGTTTTTGTGAAGCTGGCAGAGCAGAACACATTTATGAACTGTACGGTTCATTCAGTTTACCTTCAGTCACCGAATTCCATTCTGAGTCAATTTTGTTCCTTCCGATACCCCATTGTCCTACTATTGGCAAATTTCAACTTTACCCTCCCATGCAGAGACTGGAAACCAAACTGAAAATTTTGTTCAAGAATTTCATCACATTCTTCGTACCCATTGCCCAAATTCAAGATACGTTGACATATTACATTTAAATCTTTGATCTATCGTCCTCACATTTATTCTACATTTTAAAGACTATTCACTGTAGAAGGCATATCCAAAATTTACCCCATTCAAAAAAAATATACGAGCCCATTTTACAATCTAATTTAGCAACTGCTATTCAGGCATGCCACGCCCATTCTGCTTGGAGCTGTTCGGACTCTTTGAAGGAAACGTCAAATACTCCTTACAAGGGAAAGTTCTTAAATAGAAAGGAATTCAAATTTTTGTGGTGAACAACGTTAGCGTTACTTTGTTTCGGGCATAATTTAAACGGGATCATCCCACACGAATTAGCTACATTTATTTTTCTTAATACACCTACTTAAATCTGTAAAGTTTTCGTTCAAGTTTATGGATTTCGGATGCAATAAAACTGCATTTTACTAGTCGACGTGTCCCGAAAGCTTTTCGTTTTGCGTAGAAGCTCCTAGTTTCCATCCCAGTTCTGTTGAATGTGCCTTGTACACGTTTTACGAATGAGTTCTTCGGAGGTATTTGACGAAA